TGTGTGTGAGTGCAGCCCCAGGCATTTTTTAAAATACATTGATAGTGTAGTATTTTGTCATATTGCTCTAAACAAAAAATCTGGCATTAGATCTGCTTGCATTTTTTGCTTTTTTTTTTTTTTTTGGTTTTTCAAGACAGGGTTTCTCTGTATTATTTTGAAGGCTGTCCTGGAACTCACTCTGTAGACCAGGTTGGCCTCAAACTCACAGAGATCTGCCTGCCTCTGCCTCCCAAGTGCTGGGATTAAAGGCGCGCACCACCAACACCAGGCTTGTTTTTGTTTTTTAAGATGGGGTCTTTATGTGTAGTTCTGGCTGTCCTGGAGCTTGCTCTGTAGACCAGGATGGCTTTGAACTCACAGACATCTGCCTACCTTGTCTCCCGAGTGCTGGGATTAAAGGCATGAGCCACCACTGCCTGGCGGTGATTTCTTTTTCTTAAGAACACAAATACAATAAAAAATATTCCAGTTTTTAAAATAACCTCTAAATATGGACTGCTTTAAGAATTTACTGAATCTTTGGGTGATGACTTCATAAAGTTCAGGTACCTCTCCCAGTGTAAGTGAATGGAAGCCATTTAACATAAAGTGCCATAGTATTTGTATTGCCTCTCTTAAAAGCAACTTGGGGAGGAAAGGGTTTAATCTCAGTTTACAGTCCTCGGGTCACACTCCATCTCTGAGAAAAGTCAGGACAGGAACCTGGAGGCAGGAACTGAGGCAGAGGCCATAGAGGAGCGACACTTATTACTTGCTCCTCATGGTTCGCTCAACATGTTTCTTATAGAACCCAGGACCACCAGCCCAGGGATGGCACCACCCACCATGCGCCATGCTGGCCCTACCCCATCAATCATCAATCAAGAAAATACGCTACAGACTTGCCCCAGAGGCTGACTGACCTGGCAGGGCATTTCTCAGTTGAGGTTCCCTCTTCCCAAATGTGTCAAGTTGACAAAATACCAGCGAGCACATTGCCTTAAAAGCAAACATGAGTTTATCACCAGAGGCCAGCCGCACCAGCTGAGCGTGGAGGTGCCCTTGCTGTTTAAACTGGCAGGCTGGGTTAATCCAGCTTTGCAAAACCCAAGCATTTAACACTGAGGAAAGTCACATCTTGGAACACATTTACCAAAAGATCATATGTCAAAGGCAGAAATGATGTGAATAACAGATTTGACCACACTGTAGATCCATGAAAGTAATTTTTTTTTACCCTGGTATGAGCATTACTGGAGTACCAGTCAATCTCGTGTAGGGTTGTCTCCTCTTCACTGGCTCCGTTCATCCGAACATGCCCAATAGTTGGCGACTATAATGTAGCCTACTACAACCACATGTAACACATAGGAAGAGGAAGCTGGTTTTCTTCAGTGCTCACACAGCTCACGCCAAAAGGCAACTTCTGAATATCACACCCTCCTATTTTCCTCACCTGAAAACATGCAGGCTTTTTGAAGTAATGTGATATTTATGGAATTCATATTTTCTGAATCATTTATGCAACACTATGATGGTAAGTGTTGATTAAAGAGATGCATACCACAGATATTCATATGCCAGTTCATTTATTTGTAGGCCAAAGACAAGCTTTAGACACCAGAGAATCCTGCTGCAGTTGCAGCCACCACAGCTGAGGGGAGGGTACCATGCATTGTAACAAGCAGGGCCAAGAGTGCCACCCAGGCCTCACAGAACCCTGTCTGGCTGCCTAGATTTAACACTGACAGAGAAGTTGCCGCGTCCCTATATTCATTCCCTCAGGAATCCTCCACCTGCCAGGCTTATTTAAATTAAGTCCAAGCTAAGCAAACCCAAATGCTCACCCCAACTGGAACCAATTTGCAGGTCTGTTTAGGGGTGTTTGCTGGTTCTCCTCCTTCAGTTAACCAGGGGGCAGAAGCATCTAATGTTTGCTGAACTGTTCAGGAAATGGAGCGTGCCCTCCATAGGATCTGATGGGGACGGTAGGTTCACAGTCCATCTTCTAGGTGAGTTATCAGCTCTTGGTATCTTTACCTATATACCTGGAAAGTTACACTTCCTCGATTGATTGTTGAGAGAAAAAGGAATAACTAATGTGTACAGTGACTGGCCTGTCTGTAAAGCTCCCATTAAACAATAACGCTTGATTTTGTTGTTTTGCCTCTTTGATGTATTTTGTCTGTGTTGTGTTGGTGGTACCGGTGCCTCTTGTTTTGTCTGTTCCTCTCAAGCCACTTTACCCCTTCCTCTGAAAGCAAACACCAGGGCTACAGTAGCCTGCCCCACTTCTCAGAGCCAACATCAGTAGACAGCAGATTGCTCCCTCGTGGACTTTTAGCACTGCAGGCACATCTGGGTGTGACAACTTGGAAGGTGGGGTTGTTGCTCCTGCCCTCTAGTGGGAAGAGTCCAGGGATGCAGCTAAGCATCCTACAGTGCACAGGACAGTCTTCCCACACTTGATTTATCCAGCTCCAAATGGCAGCACTGCTGAGACCCTGACCCACATAAGTACAGCCAATTCTGGAGACAGGGAAGCCATAGCAACCATCAAAATGTCCGCTGTAAATACTAAACTATCCATGAAGTAAAGTAAGCATAAATAGCAGAACCATTGCACGGGCTGCCTGTTAAGTGGGTCTGAGTGGAGGTACTTGGCTGTTCTTTAACAGTACATCCATTCTTGCTTTAGTCATATGTGGTATGATGAAGCCAGTGCTCTACTTCCCTTGTCTCGAACTCTCAGCACCTTCGAGCTCCAATTGCATGCCCCCAAAACCCTGCTATATGTGTGAATACGTCTAGAGCTTGGTCGGACTGGACACTATTTTTAGTGCACTCTATACATTGGTGTATATGGATGTTTACTATGTATACACTCAGTGCATAAAACTTTATTTAAAAATCTGTGACAAAATCCAAACAAAGCCAGATTAAAGTTACCTTTCTTTGGGGACAACACCATACAGACTACCAGTACAAACCGTGCTAGGCTCTCCATGGACCCTCTGTATTAATGGACAGCTGACATACAATGGCAAGGCTGAGCCAACGCTGCTGATCACATTCATTCCAGCTGTTCGTCCCAACACAACCCAACCCAACCCAACACAACCCAACCCAACACAACACAACACAACCCAACACACCACAACACAACACAACACAACCCACCACAACACAACACAACCCAACCCAACACAACCCAACACAACACAACACAACACAACCCACCACAACACAACACAACACAACCCAACACAACACAACACAACACAACACAACACAACCCACCACAACACAACACAACACAACACAACACAACCCAACACAACACAACACAACACAACCCAACCCAACACAACCCAACCCAACCCAACACAACACAACACAACACAACACAACACAACACAACACAACCCACCACAACACAACACAACACAACACCCCCTTTTTTCAGGTACTGTAAGTTAAAAATCAAAACCTCATATTTTTTGTAATTATTTATTTTATGTGCATTGGTGTTTTGCCCAAATGTATGTCTATTTGCGAGTGCTAAGTCCCATGGAAATGGAGTTGCAGACAGTTGTGACCACCATGTGGGTGCTGGGAATTGAACCCAGGTCCTCTGGAACAATAGCTAGTGTTCTTAACCACTGAGCCATCTCTCCATCCCCAAAACCTCAGATTTTTAAAAATTACCACAACTGATTCAAAATTCCTTTTAGCTTGTTAGTGAGATTATTCTATTCTAATATCTGTCAGTTCCTCAACTGAAAAAAAATGGTATTTTCAAAACCCAAAAACCAAAATCCAGACCAGTGTTATCTGAGGGTAGAAGGGATTAGGAAAAAGAACCCTGGGAGAAGGGATGGAATGTGACACCAGTCGGGATTCCTCAGCGTCCTACAATGTTTTGAACAATGAAAATATAGTTTCACTCTATGTAAAAATGTCTCCAAACCCTTAACTTGGTTTATTTTTATATTATTTAATTAACATAAAATTTTTGAAAATCATCCATAGGACAATCTCTATCTATAAATAAGAATTATAGATAGCATTTGAACTATTACCTGTTCTGCTTTAAAAAAAAAAAAAGTGGAACCAGGGGCTGAGGCAGAGAGGTCAAAGGTCCAAGTCAGCCTGAGACATCTAGTGAGCTCTGGACACAGCAGTACGGAGCAAGGGAGCATTGGTGGGGAGGGGGGTTAGTTGGTTGACATTGGGTTCTTTCTCCATCTTTGCGTAACTTACCTTTTGTTTTTCTCAGACAGGATCTCACTCACTGTGTAGCTCGGCTGTTCTGGAACTTACTCTGTAGACCAGGCTGGCCTCAGTCAAACTCACTCGCCTCTGCCTCCTAAGTGCTAGGATTAAAGGTGTGCACCACCTTGCCCAGCTTACAATTTATCTTTTGAGACAGGGTTCACGGAACCTGAAACCTGATTCAGCCAGGCTAGCATGGCCAGTGAGTCCCAGGCTGTCTCCAGCCCACCGTCATCCTGTGCTGTGGTTACAGAGGCTTGCCTAGCACCTGGCTTTTAGGTGCAGAGGATGCAAACTCAGGCCCTCACTCTTGTGTGGCAGGCACTTGAGTAGCTGAGCCATCTCCTCAGCCCTAAGAAGTGCATTTAAGAAGATTTGACAGCAGAGGCAAGTCTGTGGTACAGACGCCATGTCTGAAGGCTGACGAGGCAATAGCAAAAACACTCAGATTCTGTTTTGTGCTTAGTTCCTGAGGACATGAAGGCAATTTACGGCTAAGTACAAGAATGGTGAACCAGAATTCGTGTAGCTCTCTCACAGAACTTGGTGTATCTAGGCTCCCAGGAACTAGGACCAGCAGATCTTGGAAAACCCGAGCACGGCCTCAGAAAAGGATGAGAAGGAATGGCTGAAGTCCACAGGCTAAAAAGCACAGCCGTAACTGGCTGGACAGGAGACACCTTGAGGGAGGCAAGCTAAAGTTACATGAGTGTCCCAATTTAAAATGAACAACCTAGTAAAAGTAAAATTTTAACAAATTCATTTTAATGTAAATCGGTGAACTACAGATACATAACGAATTTTAAGGAAACTAAAAACCGGCATAGGCAGGGTATTTCTACCCTCCAAGTGAGGGTGGAAGAGGGCAGACCCCCAATCTGTCAAAGGCAAACCCACAAAAATCTCAGGTGGGGAAAGTGGAGGTGTTCATCCGTGTTGCTGTTGCTCATCAAGCTCAAGGCTTCATGTACTACAGAGACGATAACACAGTACCTGCCTCAATCAGGCAACAGGCTTAGGAAGCTGGAGACGTAACTCTGAGGCGCGCAGCATGGATGCACCTCTCTGCAAACGATTCCTTGTACTGTGTGGGAGACTCCGTTCTACTTCCATCTGGTGTTCACCCAACTCAGGGTGTAGCAGCTGCTAGCGTTGAAGATGTCTTTCTTCAGGAAAAGCTGGGGCTTGGACACGTCTTTGTGGGTGTGGAAGAGCCTGAAGTCTCTCTGCTCCAGCTCCTTCAGGAGGCTGTACCAAAACCGCACCACGCTGCTCTCACTGCCACTGACCTCAAAGCCAGGCCAGTGGAGATGAATCTCAAAGACCAGCTGCCCAATCTGCTCAAGGACGTCTTCTAGAATAAGATTTTCTAGAACTTTCCATTCTGCACTTTCCAGATCCGCCTTGAGAATATCAATCTGTAACAAAGCAATAAAATGGGATTCTTAGACTTGGACATTCACTATACCACCTCCATACCAAATCAAGTTAAATCATATCATATCACATTGTATCATACCATATCATCCTATCTACCTCCAAAGGCAGCAGAATGTTCACATTTTAGAGTTGGAAGTCATTTAAAAAACTTCATTAAATATTTTTTCATACAATATATTCTGATTATATTCTTTCTCCTCCCTCAATTCCTCCAAGATTCTCCCCACTTTTGAGCTTTAGATATGTGTGTTTCAATCTGAATAACCAAGTAGCCATCGATGACATAAATCTCCAGCCTTACTTCATACCGTTGATGAATACAAACAACGAAATGCCAGGTGAACATTATAATGGACCCTCCTGCCTTCTGCCCAGTGCCAGCAGATACCTAAGGAAGAAATCCAGGGCACATTCATCACAGAGTCCCACACCCTCATCTTTCCCCACAATCCTCATGCCACTCCAAGGAACCCAGCCAAGTCCTGTTGGCATGGTGGTCACACAGGGAAGGACAGAGAGCCATGCCTGCAGGCTCTCTGTCACAAGTGTCATCCTTGGAGTCTTCATCGGGATTTGAAACCTAAGAAAGAGATTTGGGGTTTCTGAGTATTAGAATTATGGTTTCATGATTTCTTTTAAAAAGTATATCCCAGGATAGCATTCTAAAACAAAACAAACAACAGCAGCAAACCACAAACATCCCCTGTTTATTAAGTGATATTTACTTCCCTGGTAAGATGGGATAAAGGAAGACAGGATGGGAGAGATTATTTTTGCAATTAAATGAGAGTCAGTTTCTTTCTATTGGCTTTGTATAAAATCCATTGGAATGATAGACTCCCCAGCACCTGAAAGAAAGCAGGGTAGCTATGGCTGTGTGGCAGAGTGCTTTCCTCGCAAACATCAGGCCCCTGGTTTCCATGCTCGGCGCCATAAAAAAAAGTACCAAGTTACTAATACACACCTGACCCTAAAAAGCTAAGTAGTTCCCTTCACAATGTCCATTTAATTACATGTTAGCACTAATGAAAGGGTCATTCTGTTAGTGACTGTAGTGGTTAGAACAAGAATGACCCCCATAGGCTCATATATTTGAATGCTTAATCATCAGAGAACGGCACTACTTGAGATAGAGTAGGAAGTGTGGCCTTGTTGGAGGAAGTGTGTCACTTGGGGTGGGCTTTGAGGGTTCAAAAGCCCAAGCCATGTTCCAGTGTCTCTCTCCTCCTACTGTCTGCCTGTCTGGAAGTAGAACTCTCAGCTCCTACTCTGGCACTATGTCTGCCTGTGTGCCGCCATGCTTCCTGCCATGATGAGGATGCGAATGGACTAAGCCTCTGACCTGTAAGCCAGCCCCAATTAAATGCTTTCTTTTGTAAGAGTTGCTGTGCTCATGGTGTCCCTTCACATCAATAGAACACCAACTAAGACAATTACCTTAATTACCGTTTATGAAAACAGACTCAGTGAGTAGCCCAGTCCAATTACACAGCTGGAGAGACAGTGGTAAAATATGAACAGTCTGAGTGTCATATCGTCTGTGCTTGTGTGTGTGTGTGTGTGTGTGTGTGTGCACGTGCGCATGTACATGTCTATAAACATGTATGTGGAAGCCAGAGGTCAACATCTGATATCTCTGCATCTTATTATTTTTTTTCTCCATTTTATTATTTCTTTATATGAAGTCCTTTGTTAAACCTAGAATTCATGTTTTTGGCTAAACTTGCTGGCCAGTGAGCCCAGGAATGATCCTATCTGCACCCCAGGAACCTCCTTCACCCCCCACTGGGATTATAAATGCCACCACACCCAGCATTTATATGGGCACTGGAGATCTCAACTTGGGTCTTCATGCTTGCACAGCAGGCACTTTAATCAATGGAGCCATCTCTCCAGCTTCCCATATGTACTTAACCATTAAAGAGTATTATCCTCCCAGTAAGCCACCAAAGGGAAGAGTAACGGCATTCCAAGAAGCGTTGACCTTAGAAAATCCAAAGCTGTTAGGAGAGTGAACATGGGTCAGTGAGGTGCTTGAATCAGTACCATTGAATTTTCAGCGTACTTTTCAAAACGGGTAACGTCACCCCAAGCTAATCTGACAGCATTTGACATAATGAATACTGGAATGGAAGGAAACATTCAAAGGAGCAAAGATCGGAGTCCCAGGCACTTCAGCCCCCCAGAAAGCTGCTGGCCAGAACCACTAGGATCCAGCTCTGCAGAAGTAAGACTGTCTTTGTTGGTTGATAAATATGGACGTACAACACCAAGTCCAGTCCTGCCCACCATTTCCTGCCAGTGTAATCTGTGTGGTAAGTTTTCCAGATGATGTCAACATCTGAAAGTCCCACATCCGTGGAGGCATTCCTTGAGCGATTTCAGAGTTACGCAGAGGAGCAGGTGCGTGGACATCAGATATGATTGCTACAAGAAAGAGGGCTTGGCTGAATGTCCTGAGACCTGCAACGCATGCTTGGCACTCTTGATTGGATGTTCTGGAACCAAGAATGGAGAGGTCTTAGGAAAGTCAACGTCAGCAAACTGGCTGTGGGTCAGTGGTTTCGAAACAAATGGAATAGGTGAAAAACAACTTTTTTCTTCATGAAGCTGACTGAGCAAAGACAGGTTCAATGGGAATATGGGCCAGGCTAAATCAATTCTTATGAATGGGACCCAAGGGAATTAACTCCCTCCATTTTACATCTCAGCTGCTTTGGCACTCCTATAGCTTTGTTTAATCTTGGCAGCTTTAGGCACAGTCCTCCTGGATTAAGAGTAATTAAGCTGCCAAAAGAAATATTTAACCAAAACTTCACAGAATATCCTAATTGGTAGAGAATACACTCAAAATTCAAAGAGCAGAATGTGTTGTCTAAGTCGCACAGCCAAGAATTTCTTAGGTGCCTTATAGACTTTTTTCCCCACAGCCCTAGGTTTCCTGTGAGTTTGAATGTGATAAATATCATAAACAAATCAAAATGTGAAAAGGACAGCATAGGGTTGGGATGTAGCTCAATAGAGTAGATTGCTTAGCAAACATGAGGAGGAATAAAAACAAAACAAACAAACAAGGAAATCGGGAGTGGGGGAATGGGGACGCTGAAGTCCTTTAGCTGAACCTGAAAACTCTACCGGTAAAGATACCAAGGACTATACCATAGATTTTTCAGACATCTTAGAGTTGTGTTTATAGGTGTATGGGTGTATTGTCTGTGTGTATGTATATGCAACGCATGTATGCTTGGTGCACACAGAGGTCAGAAGAGAATTAGAACCCCTGGAACTGGAGGTACGGATGGTTGTGAACAAGAATGCTGGGAACCAACCCTGGGTCCTCTACTAGAGCAGCAAGTGCTTTGAACTACTGATCAATCTTTCTATCCCCCACCCCAACATATTTAAAATAAATTATCAATCAAAAGTTATAAGCAACCAGAACAGAACCAAATAAAGTTAAATCATAGCAAATACATATTTGCTTTAGAAATGCAGTTTTTAGTCACTTGATGAAAATACCTTCTTAAAAGCAAACAGAATGCTAAATGTCATAATATCCCTACCTTCTTTACCCCAGTGACTGAGAGTCCCTGCTCTGATGAGAACCAAACAGGCTGGTCTTTGTCACTCAGCCTTACAGTGGTGTGGCATGGACTCACCCACAATCTCTTCCCTGCCTCCCAAGCTGAGAACACAGACAGCCAAAATACAGGGAATAAAACAAAATTTTCTCTCCCATTATGCATTTCCTTTTGCTTGCATTTCAGAATGTCCCATTACCATGAACTATTTTGCAAATATAATTTTCCTTATTACTGCATAATGCAGACAATATTATTGTTATTATAAAGCGCTAAAGCATTCTGGGTAAGACATGCCACATTTAAGATTCTAATACCATCTTGTAACAATTATGGCACCTCAAATCATGCAAATGATTATGTTGGCATAATCAAGTGCCAAGTCTAATATAGTTGGGTTAAGTCAGGTTTCTTGTAAAGAACAAGTATGTGATAATGCCTAATAAACTCTGGAGTAAGTAAAGACATATTTTTGGTCTCAAAGATGGTAGAAGAAACCATCTGTCTGGAATAATTTCAAAGGTTTTGAAGAGGTTCTAGCATCAGATATTATCTCCTTTCCTTACGCCTCAAATATCCAATAAGTTGCTTTCCACACAACTTTTTGAAGAACCTTAATTTTAACTGGATTGAGATGTGATACCTTCTGGCAGCATCCTCATAGAGGGTACAAGTCTGTCTCTGCGCTCATCCACCCAGATCATGGCTGATTCATGATCCATCTGCAGGATGACTTGAAAGGAGAAGAAGGGGGCTATGTGTGGGAGTGAACTTTCTAGGCTGCTGCAGCAAAGAGCAACAGAAACAGAGTGACCTAAAACCTGGAGTTTGTCAGGTCATTGGTATAGTAAGTGAAGGTCCAGGTTTCCTTCAAGAGGAGAAACTGCCTACCTCTCTCTAGGCTTGGCAATTGTGGCATTCTCAGCGCCTACATCACCCAGTCTCTGCTTGTACTTTCTCACGGTCTTCTCTGTGTGTCTCTGTGTCTGCGTATGTGTTTCCCCTTTTCAGAGAGGCGTCAGCCATTTTGGATTAGAGCCAAGCATGCTCTCTTATGACTTCATTTTAGGTAATACATCTGCAACAACCACATTTCCAAACAAGGCCACATTCTGAAATGCTGGAGAAGAGGGATTTAACTGGTAACATTGCTCAAGGCAGCCATTGCAACAGGGCTTTTACAAGACAGTGTGTACCCAGGAGCCATTGCTTAGACAGCATGTTCTGTTAAAGCCAGCCAAAGGTAACAACTATCCAAGGCAATTATGACTATCACTCTGCCAGTCACTACATCAGCCAACACTGGCAGCTTATTCCTTGCTAAATACCCAAGCCAGGCAAATCAACAAATTTGAAGGCCAACCAAAATCACCATGGAAACATGCCCATATCTCATT